TGGGCTTTCCGACGTTACAGGACGGCCCAAGAGGCGCCCAAGACCGCCCCAAGACCGCCCAATAAGTTTCCCAGAGGGCCCCAGGACAGCCCAAGAGGGCCCCAAGACGGCCCAAGAGGCGCCCAAGATGGCCCAAGAGGGCCCCAAGACGGGCCCAAGATGGGGCCCAGAGGGGGACCACGAACCGCAAGCTCGAGCCTTCCGCCCCAAGAGGCCGCCAGGAGGCCCCAAGGAGGCCCCTCAAGAGGCCCCAGGAGACCCAGACGTCCAAGGACGCCCCCAAGAGGCCCCAAGAAGCCTCCAACATGCGTCCCAAGAGGGCCCCTAGACGCAAAAATTGGCCCATTCCCTACGTAAAACGTACATGTTCAACAAAGTCGCCTTTTGGGCTTTCCGACGTTACAGGACGGCCCAAGAGGCGCCCAAGACCGCCCCAAGGCGGCCCAAGAAGCGTCCAAGAGGGCCCCAGGACAGCCCAAGAGGGCCCCAAGACGGCCCAAGAGGCGCCCAAGATGGCCCAAGAGGGCCCCAAGACGGGCCCAAGAGGGGCCCAGAGGGGGACCACGAACCGCAAGCTCGAGCCTTCCGCCCCAAGAGGCCGCCAGGAGGCCCCCAGGAGGCCCCTCAAGATGCCCCAGGAGACCCCAGACGTCCAAGGACGCCCCCAAGACGCCCCAAGAAGCCTCCAACATGCGTCCCAAGAGGGCCCCTAGACGCAAAAATTGGCCCATTCCCTTCGTAAACGTACATTTTCAACAAAGTTGTCTTTTGGGCTTTCCGACGTTACAGGACGGCCCAAGAGGCGCCCAAGACCGCCCCAAGACGGCCCAAGAAGCTTCCCAGAGGGCCCCAGGACAGCCCAAGAGGGCCCCAAGACGGCCCAAGAGGCGCCCAAGATGTCCCAAGAGGGCCCCAAGACGGGCCCAAGAGGGGGCCCAGAGGGGGACCACGAACCGCAAGCTCGAGCCTTCCGCCCCAAGAGGCCGCCAGGAGGCCCCCAGGAGGCCCCTCAAGAGGCCCCAGGAGACCCCAGACGTCCAAGGACGCCCCCAAGAGGCCCTAAGAAGCCTTCAACATGCGTCCCAAGAGGGCCCCTCGACGCAAAAATTGGCCCATTCCCTTCGTAAAACGTACATTTTCAACAAAGTTGTCTTTTGGGTTTCCCGACGTTACAGGACGGCCCAAGAGGCGCCCAAGACCGCCCCAAGACGGCCCAAGAAGCTTCCAAGAGGGCCCCAGGACAGCCCAAGAGGGCCCCAAGACGGCCCAAGAGGCGCCCAAGATGGCCCAAGAGGGCCCCAAGACGGGCCCAAGAGGGGGCCCAGAGGGAACCCCACGTGGGCCCAAGGAGGCCCAAGAGGGACCCAAGAGAGCCCCAAGAGAGCCCCAACATCGGTCACGCGGAAGAGCTCTCGCGTGACCGATGTTTGGCCCCTCTGTGGGCTCCCCTTGGAGCTCCGAGAGGAGCCAAAGATGGCCCCACGAGGGCCCCGACGAGACCCCAAGAGGACCCAAGCAGGCCCAAGAGGGACCCAAGAGAGCCCCAGCATAGGTCACGCGGAAGAGCCTTCGCGTGACCGATGTTGAGCCCCTCTTTGGGCTCCTCTTGGAGCTCCAAGAGGGGCCCAAGATGGCCCCGCGAGGGCCCCGAGGGAGCCCCACGTGGGCCCAAGGAGGCCCAAGGAACCCCAAGATGGCCCCAACATCGGTCACGCGGAAGAGCTCTCGCGTGACCGATGTTGGGCCCCCTCTTTGGGCTCCTCTTGGTGCTCCGAGAGGAGCCCAAGATGGCCCCGCGAGGGCCCCGTCGAGACCCCAAGAGGGCCCAAGGAGGCCCAATAGGGCCCCAAGAGGGCCCCAACATCGGTCACGCGAAAGAGCTCGCGCGTGACCGATGTTGGGCCCCTCTGTGGGCTCCTCTTGGAGCTCCGAGAGGAGCCCAAGGTGGCCCCACGAGGGCCCCGACGAGCCCCAAGAGAGCCCAAGAGGGCCCCAAGAGCGCCCCAACATCTCCTCTCCTTCCTCCTCCTCCCTCCTCTGCATCTTCCTCCTCCTCCTCCTTCTCATCCTCCTCCTCCTCCTCCTCCTCCTCCTCCTCCTTCTCCTCTCCAGGGGAATGAAAACCAGAGGATAGCTCACGGAGAGCCCAAGCACCCTCTTGTTGCATCCATCTTGGCTTCCAGATGGAGCCCAAGAAGGCCCCAAGGAGGCCCCTCAAGAGGCCCCAGGAGACCCCAGACGTCCAAGGACGCCCCCAAGACGCTTCGCGTCACCAATTTCTTCTCGCAACGATTCCTGGGTCTGTGACTCGACAGAACCTAAGCGCGCGCGAAGCGCGCGCGTGGTTCTAGTACCGTCTATCGCCGATTCCCCAGAAGAGATCTGGGAAAGTATGGGGAGTGGGGGGAGGGGAGGACACGAAAGCCCAGAAAAATCGGGGGGGGGGGGGGGAATGTGGGGAATCCTGTCCTCTGTGTGCATTTATCTGTGTGTGTGTGTGTGTGTGTGTGTGTCCCGGGGCCTGCCCGGCCTCGTTCTGAGGCTGCGCCCCCCTTCTCCCTCCCCTTTCCTGCGTACTTCAAGCTCTGCGCGGCCCGCTCTGCTTCGACCGGACGAGGTGCGCTCTCGACCCGCGAATCAGAAGTGTCCCGGGGCCCTTTCGGAGCTGCCCCCGCCCCCCCACTCCTCCTCCTCCTCCTCTCCTCCTCCTCCTCCTCCTCCTCCCTCTCCTCCTCCTCCTCCTCCTCCTCTCCTCCTCCTGCCTCCTCCTCCCCTCCTCCTCCTCCTCCTCCTCCTCCTCCTCCTCCTCCTCCTCCTCCTCCTCCTCCTCCTCCTCCTCCTCCTCCTCCTCCTCCTCCTCCTCCTCCTCCTCCTCCTCCTCCTCCTCCTCCTCCTCCTCCTCCCCTCCCCCTCCTCCTCCTCCCCCTCCTCTCCTCCTCCTCCTCCGTCCTCCCCCCCCTCCTCCTCCTCCTCCTCCTCCCCCTCCGGGCGCGCCGCCGAGCCAGCCCCCTCTCGGGCCGTGCCGAGCGGGCCTCCGGCGGCCGGCCGCTCGGGGCGACCCGCGGGCACCCCCCAGGAGGGGACACGCCCTGCGCGGGGCGCAGCTGCTGCAGCGCGCCCCGAGGCTCAGGTCGGGCACGTCCCCCCACAGGGGGGCGTTGGGCGAAGAATTATCAGGAGGGCAAGAAAAACACGGACACAATTCATCGTCGACTCCCAGGAAGATATGGGAAAATATGGGAAGTGGGGGGAAGACAGAAACCCAGAAAATATAGGAAAATATGGGGAATCCTTTCATTTGTGTGTATTTATTTGTGTGTCCCAGGGCTAGAGGTTGACACCAACACCAATTTCGGCGGTGTGCCTCCAACGAGGGAAGGAGATCCCGATCTCGGTGATGGTGGTAATATTCTGGCTTCCCAGGTGGCCGACATATTGCCACCAACACCGGCTTGACACCGAAATATTGCCACCAACACCAATATGGCTTCGGGCACGTCCCCCCCACAGGCTTGGCATCGCTCGGACGTGTGCATTTTTCCTTCGGCGAGGACCATCGAGGAGCATCCTTGATCGTTTCGCGAAGAAACGCGCACGAAACCGAACAAAAACACGGGGAATGGACGTCCGAGCGATGCCCAGCAGGGGGGTTTTGGCCGAAGAGTTAAGATATCCCAGAGATGCCCCAGAGTAGTAAAAAAAAATACCGTCCCCAGACTATTTTTTGGAGTATTTTTTGGAGTATTCTCCCTGTGGAGGGACAGGCCCGACGTGACCCGAGGCCCGAGGACCGTGGAGGACCGGCGAGAGCCCCGAACCCCGGAGCCTCCCGCCCGAGAGCGGTTTCTCTGACACCCGTGGCTCAGCTGGCGCACTTGCCTCCCAAAAAAGAGCCCCGGCTGCGCCCCCCGAGCCGGCGACCCCTTCTGCGCAGCCGCTCCCCCCCCCCCCGCAGCCGGCCGCCACCCCCCCCCCCAGGATTCTCAGGCCCCCGGATCTGGACGCCCGAGATGGGCACTGAAAGAATGGGCACGATGCCCAACAGCAGTTCCTGTTCCTTTTGAACAGGACTCGCTGTCCGCGCCGCCGCGGCCCGTGTCCATTCGAGACAGGAGGCCGCCTGCCCAACGGCGGCCGCTGTTGGTTCGGGACAACATTTGTTGTTGGGCATGTTGCCCATTCTTTCGGTACCCATTTCGCGTGTCCAAACCGGAGACCAGGACACAGATAAGCCAGGACACGGAAGACCAGGGAAGCGACATCCTTTCCTGCAAAGTTACGGTAGGTTCGTGTCGTGTCGACCGGCGGCGACCCCGCCGCCGACGTTCAACGTTGAACGCCGACGGCGGCCCAGAGTCGGTCGATGTTGAACGATCGGACGTTGCGGAGACGGCCGATCGTTCAACATTGAACGATCCAGCGCGGTGTCAGGAACCAACGCCAGGGTCGACACGGCACGGACCTGCAGTACGTTTCTCAGCACCCGTGCATGTCTTGTTTGCTGCACTGCAGGATTCGGGGTCGTGCCCGGGTTTGGAAGGGCCTTGCAGGCCTTCGGGGCCCGTGTCCGGGTCCATCCTGGAACTGCCGCAGTGCAGCATCTTGCCCGTGCCGCCGCTTGGAAACACTGGTCTCGAGGGATGTTGGGCGTCCGGGCCTAGCGTGTCCGGGTCTACGGGGCCCTGAGATTCGCCACCCGAAAGGATGGGCCTGTTTTCCACCACCACCACCACCACCATAAGCCGGAAGGGGGGAAGGAGGAGGAGGAGGAGGAGGAGGAGGAGGAGGAGGAGGGGAGGAGGAGGAGAGGAAGGAGAGGAGGAGGAGGAGGAGAGAGGAGGAGGAGATGAGGAGGAGGAGGAGGAGGAGGAGGAGGAGGAGGAGGAGGAGGAGGACCCCCTCCCCTCCTACTTATGGTGGTGGTGGTGGTGGTGGAAAACAGGCCCACCTCGAAAGTCCCAGACTTCCCCCTCGGCGTGCCGCCGGTCTGCTGTGCTCCCCCTCGAGGAGGTCGCCCGCCTCGCGGCGGGCCTGCCCGTGGACGGCCTCAACTGCGTGGTCCCCGCCAGGCCCGGGGGGCCCCCGCTTCGGGCCGGCCGCTGCGGTTCGGGGCCGCTTCGGGCCAGCCCGCTCCGATCCGGCCACCAAACCCAGACCCCCTCGAGTAATGAAAAAATCATGACGGGATGTTTTTCCCAATTTTCGGCCTCCGGGGGCCCTCACCGGGCCTCGGAAGCGTCAAAAAACGACTCAGGATGCAAAGCCGGTCATGGGGAAAGGGTCCAGACCTCTGGGGGTCGACGTAATGAAAAAATCATTATGTCGGGGGTCTGGGAACCACCCCAACCCAACCCGAAGGCCCAAATTTATCCTCGATTTCCAGTGGGGGGGGGGTCGGGGAACATTGGGAAAGCACGTGGAATCCGTACCCCCCCCCAACCCGAAACTCGGGTCCAATTCGGGTCTTCGGGTTGGGTTGGGGTGGTCTGGTAGGTAGTCAGCTCCGATCCGGCCACGGCCCGCTGCCTACAGTCAACCCGCAGAGGAAGGACGGGCAGCCTTTCCAAGGGTATTCTGGGCGGGATATCAATCGGGGGGTGGGCGACTGACCTTCCGACGGATCCCCCCCCCCCCCCTCCCTCCGCCTCCTTTTCCATCCTCCCTCTCCTCTTTTTTTCTTTTTTTTTTTATTTTCCTCCCCACCACCCCCCCCCCCCCACCCGTGGCGACAGCACCCACCCCCCCCAGCGGATTCAAGGGGGGGGGGGCGATTATTTTCCCATCCAGAGTGCTCTTGCATCCTTGCCTTCTCGGTCCATCCTTCGCCACTCTCGTTGGCTGCGCTCCGCTCGAAAAGCTTCGAAATGGCCTTCCAAGGCCCTTGCATCCTTACCGCGCATCCTTCTTATACGGGTTGACTGTACACCAAGGCGCAACAGCTTCGATTCGATTCAAGACGCTTCGCGTTCACCGCCCGCTCATTCCAGTTCTCGCGGGAAGATACGAAGACGGTGCGAAGACGGAATTACAACATTCCCTCCACCCCGTCGCCGATTGGGCTTAGGTACGTCATGTGGCTCAACGATATTAAGTATGCCGATTGGTCGTCGGTCCGTTGTACCGCTTGTAGTTTCCGCCGCATGCGCGTGCATGGCACGCGCCCCCGCTCTGCGTACAAAGCCGACTAGGGCCGTGTGGGCAGCCTCTCGAAAGGAGCAGAGGCATCGTAACAGAGTGTGCGAAGTGCTCGACGTCCCCCAGCAGAAGGGGTCAATGGAGGCAAACTGCGGTCCAGACAGCGTATTGGGAGCGGTGTGAAATGCGAAATCGTCTTCGACGCCGTCTGGAAGCCGTCTTGGGGGCCCAGAAGGGCCTTTGCCGCAGCTGGGCGGTGGAGTGGCGGGAGGCCCCGGTTTTTGTGTACTCGATCCTGGAAGCTCGTTTGAACACGCGTTCATGTTTTTTGTGCCTTCTGGTCTCCTCCTCCTCCTCCTCCTCCTCCTCCTCCTCAGTGTCTTTTGGTGCCCTGTGAAGTGCCCCCTCATGTCCTTTCCTCTCTCAGCGATTGCCGTGCCTGATGCGGGACGCACCCTGTAGGGCCTGGTGGAAGGGAGTGTCGCGTATTTCCTCGGCGCCTTCCGTTGACTTGGTGGCGGCGGCCCGCTTTCGCAGTGGTGTGTGACCTCAGCCGCTGACGCCGCGGCGTCCTCCAGCAGGCACGACGATTGATTGGTCCCTGCACGTCCGCAGGGTAGCCCCCTTCCCCCCTCATCCCACCTCATGCTCCTGTTGCTCCTCGTCGTCTGCTTCTCCCCCCCCCTCCTCCCTGCACTTTCAACCGCCGCCGTCGCCTCCCATTACCCCCATCCCCTCGTGCGCGCCGCAAGGTTCCCCTCTGGGGCGCGATCCACGTCCGGGAGCAGGAGGTGGCGCGAGAGCCCTCTGGGGCCGCCGGAGCTCCCTGCGACGCGCGCGGGCGGTCCCCCTCGGGGCGCGATCCGCGCGAGGGGCTGTCTCGTTGGCTGTCTTGCTGGCTGCCTTTTTGGGGGCCTCGCTGGGTGCCTCGCTGGCTGCCGTGTTGGCTGCCTTGTTGACCGCGGTGCTGGCCGCCCAGTTGGCTGCCCCGTCGGCTGCCTGATTGACTGCTTGCCTCGTTGGCTGCCTGGCTGGCCGCGTTCCTGGCTGGCTCGTTGGCTGCCAACTTGGCCACCTCATTGGCTGGCTCGTGGGCTGCTTGTTGGTTGCCTTCTTGGTGGCCTTGTTGGATGCCTCGTTCGCTGATCGCTTGTTTGCCTTGTTGGCGGCCATGTTGACTTCCTTGGTGGCTGCGTGTTGACTGCTCGCCTCACTGATTGCCTGGTTGGCTGTCTTATCTGCTGCCTCGTTGGCCGCCTCAGTGGTAGGCAGCCCGACACCGCGAGCGCCGGCGTCGCTGGAATGGTCGCGGGGAGTTCGACAACGTCACAGGAGACAACCGTCTGACAGAGACGGCCAGTGGCAGCTGGGGAATACGACAGGGCGCCTGTCTTTCTGTCATGGCAACCGCCCTGGCGGTGGGCATCAACCGTCAGAGAAGCGTTGATGAGAGCCATCGTCTTGAATAATGATGATGATGATGATGATGATGATGATGATGATGATGATGCTGATGATGATGATGATGATGATGATGATGCTGATGATGATGATGATGATGATGATGATGGTGCTGATGATGATGATGATGATGCTTCTGATGATGCTGATGCTGATGATGCTGCTGCTGTTGATGATGATGAGGATGATGATGATGATGCCATCATCTTGAGTCCGCTGTTGGCGTAAACAACGCCCATTCACAGACGTTGTTTCGATGGTGTCGCCCCCGGCCCCCATTTCAACGTTGCGTCCGCGGCCGTTGTCTGGGTGCCAGCATCGGGATAAATATCGCCTCAAACTCCATCGCCAAGGCAATCTCGTTGTCAACATTGAAATTGGGGGACACGGGGGTTCTGAACACATCAGCGTTGTCCATTATGCCTGGTTGGCGTTTTTAACGCGAACGGCGGCATGGCCTTTTTGGCACGATGCAGGACTGTCAGTGCGACAGTCACCTTGACTCGCGGTGGTGATGTCCCAGGAAAAGGTGTTTTGGCACGCTTCAGGACCGCCAGGTTGCAACAATAACGGTGTTTTGCGGCGATGGAGTCCCAGAGCGGTGTTATGCCACGATTCAGGATTTTTAGACGATTGTCTTCAACGGGGCACCTCCCTAAGTGAAGCGAAGTTGTTGTAGGGGCCGATGAAGAGGGAGCTTGGGGGGACGGTGTATTGTAAACTCGTTGGTGGGTCGCGGGTTTGCACTGGTCTTCTTTCTCCTCCTTCTCCTCCTCCAACCTTTCCTCTTCCTCTTCGAACCTCTTAATCATCCTCAGCCTCGAACCTCCTCGCACTCCTCGAACAGCCCCCCCTCCTTGAACCTCCTCCCCAATCCTCGAAACCCAGATCTTCGCGCCTCTGCTCCTCTTCCTCCCTCTGCTGTCTCCGCCGACCTCCCGCCCCCCCTCCTCCCCCTCCTCCCCTCCCCCCCTCCCTCCTCCCCCCTCCTCCTCCCCTCCTCCTCCTCCCCCTCCTCCTCCCCTCCCCTTCCTCCTCCTCCTCCTCCTCCTCCTCCTCCTCCTCCTCCTCCTCCTCCTCCTCCTCCTCCTCCTCAGGGCACAAGCCTCGCCCTCTTCCTGCCGCCCTCCCCCGCTCCCAGGCCCGTGGCCCGGGAGGCCGGCGCAGAGAGGCACCCGCGGTGCAGCAGCGAGGCGTGGGGCGAGCCCGACGGGCCCTCCCGCGCGGCGCCGGCGAGGCCGACGACGCAGGCCGAGGTCGAGGACCCAGGGCCACTCGCCAAAGGTGCTCCAGATTTCGTAATAAAAGGGAGGGGGTCTCAACCCTCCCAGACGAGAAGTTTTAGACCCCCCCCCTGGGAGAACCCTCCAAAACATCGTCCCCAGACCCCCCAGTCCCCGAGGGAGGTCGAGGCCGAGGTCGAGGACCCAGGGCCGGGCCACTCGCCAAAGGTAGGGGAACAAAAAGTGTCGGGGGCCACACGCGAGCCCCACCCCTACCCCCCACGATTTCTGAGGGGGAGGGTGGGGTTCCCTTCGTGCGGGAGCTCCCTAAAGTGACATAAACATACAAACTCGGAGGTCCGCGCGGATTTCTCCGATCGGCGCTGGGGCCCCCCCGGCGGCGCCTCCGGCGCCGCCCCTGGCGCGCGGAGCGCGCCAGGGAGGGGGGTCCAGCGCCGATCCGAGGAATCCTCGCGGACCTCCGAGCTTTTGCGTTGATGCCACTTCTTGTTCCCCTAAGGCCGAGGTCGAGGACCCAGGGCCACTCGCCAAAGGGAGGATCGGCGGCGAGCGAGGGGGGGAAGAGTGAGAGGGAGAAGGCCTCCTCAGGAGGCGGCGGGGCTTCTCAGAGGCCCTCGCGCCTTCCGAGGAGTTTATTCTGCGTCTTCGGGGAAGGCTTGGCAAACTTCTCAGAAGGCCAGGGGACTTCCGAGCCTTCTGAGAGGGCCTCCTTCCTCGCATTTCCCCCCTCGCTCGCCGCCAACATTCGTCAGAGGAAGGCGAGGGGTGCCTATACCACCACACTTCCCTCGTCTTCCCGTCTCTGGGCCTCCCGGGAGGCCCTGGTTCCCACCGCTGGGTCCGCTTCGAAATGCTGCTCAGAACGCACCCTGGGAGAGGTCCGGGGAGTGGCGGTATGGGTACCTCTTGGTTTTCCCAATTTCAGGAGGGAAAAAACACACACAGGCACAATTCATCGTCGACCCCCCCAGGAAAATATGGGAAAATGTGGGAAGTGGGGGGAAGAAACCCAGAACATATAGGAAAATATGGGGAATCTTTTTATTTGTGTGTATTTATTTGTGTGTCCTGGGGCCCTTTCACAATTCGTGGGCCAAAAGCGTATGAGCGACAGAAGAAAACGGGGTCGCCTTCACCGACACTGGCGCGTCAGCTGCCCGCGTACGGTCGCACGTGAGCGCGTTCGTTGCCAAAGCAGCGTGCCACGCTGGCGGCCCGCGTAAGCCACCGCGTGAGGTCGCTGTGACAGCTCGGGTAAGACCCTGTCGAGGACCGATGGCCATTCGTGGGGGAACATCGAAGAAAACGTGTTAGCCAGCGTGGACCCCAGAAGGTGTGTCTGTGGGAATAGATGTAGTGCAACATGTGTTGTGCAATCCATCTGGTTCAATCTGTGTCGAGTACTCCTTGTGGAACAATACCTGTGTGGCGCAGCATCTGCTGAACAAGATGTGTTGTGCAGGTCATGCTGAGCAACCGATGTCACGCAGTCTGTGCTGTACACTCGATGCGGTGCAGTGTACGTGGCGCCATACGTGTGAGCTGGTTCGGATCAACAAGTAAAAGGATACACCAGACATGAGCCAAAAAGGCCAAACAATACTCAACAAGTAGTCCACATACTATTCTTGGACTATATATATAAAATAATATGTATTGGATATTTTGATTTTTTTCGTCGCCTCGCCGAGCCGGGCCGCGTGCCGTGCCTCCCGCTCCGTGGCCGATGCCGCCGGCGCAGTGCGGGCCGCCCGCGGGGCGGCCCCGGCGGCTCCTCCGCGCGGCGGCAGGGCCGTGGAGCGGTGCCGAGCGCGGCGTCGAGCGCGAGGCGGCCCGCCTCCTCCGCGCCGCGGAGGGCACCGCGAGGGGGCTGCGGGGGCCTGCCTCGCGCGAGGAGGAGGCTGAGGAGGAGGAGGAGGAGGAGGAGGAGGAGGAGGAGGAGGAGGAGGAGGAGGAGGAGGAGGACTTCACGGCTGGAGGCGCTGGAGGCTTCGCGGGCGGCGTGGCAGGACGGCAGCGGACCAGCGCGGGGAGTCGGGTGCCCGCGTGCGCCCCGAGGCCGTGCCTGGTGGTGCGGACGACGGCACGATGGGCCTCGTGAGAGCGCCCGCCACCAGGAGCATCGAGGCGGCCGCGAGCAGCGGCAGCGCGGCGGCTGGCAGCGGGCGCGCGGGCCTGGAGCTCGTGCGCTTGCCTGTGGCGGCGGCGCTTGCCGCTGACGTCGACGAAGGGGATCAGCGAGCTGAGCGGCGAGTGGGCCGACGCGGCCGCAGTGCAGCGAGCCAGGCCGCCTCCGAAGCCGTCAAAGCTGGCCATTGCCCGTGCCGCCGTAGCCGCTGGCCAGCGGGTGCGGGGTGGCGCGTGTCCTTGGGTGGGAGTGCAGCGGGAGGTCGCCGCCTTCGCCTGAGTGTTCTGGGAGGGCGCGGGCGAGTCAGACATGGTGAAGAGGCCCGCGGGGGGCCGAGTCGGTGGAGGGGCGAGGCCACCTGAGGCCTGAGTGCACCTGCCGTGGTGCCGTCCACGAGCACGAGCCCGAAGAAGAGCGAAACAGCGTTCAGTAGCGCGCGCGCCATCACGAGCAGCTGCCCGAGTCGTCCTGGCCGCCCCACTCATCGTCGAACGAACGGCTGAGACACGAGCTGCGCCGCTTGGCCCGGCAGCGAGGGCAGGACCTCACGGTCCGCGCCCCGGGGAAGGGTCAATCCACGGGCCCTGCTCGCGCACTGACCTGGCCCGCATCGCCGAGGGCCGCCGAGGGTAACGCTGCGCCGGCCGCGACCAGGGTCCGTCCCGCAGGTCCAGGGGCCCCTCCACGGCAGCCTTCGACCGCGTCGCGCACCCCGTGCGTCGGGGGGCACCGCGGCTTCGACGGCCGCGGAAGGCATGGCGTCCGCGCGGGAAGACGCGACCTCCGCCGGCGCGCCGACGCGCCGGCGCGGGCCGCGCGGGCGGGGGCGCAGGCCACTGCGCACCTGCCCGGCGGACTCTTCTCGCCGAGCAGAGCCCGTGGACCGACGGTATCCGCGCCTTCCTGCTCCGCGACGGCGCGGGGCACTCCGAAGTCGACGCCGTCTCGCGCGGCAGCGGGCGCCAACTCGTTCGGGAGCACGTCCGCTCGGCAAAGCCCTCATCGACAAAACGAGCGGCGGCACCTGCGATGAAGGGTGGAGCCGTAGGACGCTGGCACCAGGCAGAGGGTGGGAACGAGGACGGAAGGCTGTGCCAACCCCTCGGCGACCCGCTTCGCGCGACCTCCAGCCCCGGACGTCAGAGGTTCCGCGACGCAAGCCTCCGCAGATATGTCCAAGTCCGTCACCTCTCCAAGCCGCTGCCCCTTGGCGGCAGCGCGGAGCTCAGGCGGCGACGCCGTGCGGAGTCTCCCCTCCAGGGCACGCGCGCGGGCGTGGGAGGCGACTGGAACCAGAGTGCTCGTGATCGTCCGCGCGCTTGCAAGCAGCGCTAGCAACGGGAACGTCCACAGAGATGCTGCTCTGGCCGTCGAGGCTGGTGCCGCCAGCCTGGGCACACTGAGCCTGCGTTCGTGGTAGGTCAGTAACACATCACAAACATACACAACTAGTGCAATACGGGTGGTGCCGTCTATGCTGTGTGATATATGTTGTGCAGCCAATGGTATGCAACTCATATTGTGTCGTCCATGTTGTGCAGTAAATGTGGTGCACTCTACCTTTTGCAGTCTATATGGAGTAGAATGGGTGGTGCACTTTATGTGGTGAAACCTATGCTGTGCAACCTGGGTTGTGCAACATATGTGGTGCAATAAACCATGCGCAACTTATGGGGTGCGTAGAACGATACGAATATATGTTGTGCAATCTATGTCTGGCAATTAATGTGGTGCAATCTATGTTGGGCAGTGCATGTCGTGCAACATACATTGTGCAAGTCGTGTGTTGTGGTGCACAGCATGTTGTGCAGTCCAGGTGTTGCAATTCGTGTGAAGTCCGCGTCGTGATGCAATGGATGCGGTGCATCTTCGTGGTCCAATCAATGTGGTACAATCTGTGTGGCGCACCGCGTGTGGTCCACTGTGTGTGGTGCAGTCGATGTGGTACAAGATCTGTTGTCGAGGGACGCCGGCGATGAGAGGGTCGAGGCTCGCGGCCCGAGGAGTGGTGGGGGGGGCAGTGTCTGCGCGCGGCCCTGGACAGCAGGTGCCCGCCGCGAGCGTCGGGGTCGAGGGCGCCGCGTATCGGCGATCGGCGATGGGGGCTCCGCCCCAGGCTGCGCGCCTGAGAAGCGGGTGGGGGGGCCATCGCGGAGGAAGGGCCCAGACTCGAGGAGAGCTCTCTGGACAGCCTCGAGGAGAGAAGGAGGAAGGGCCCGGACTCGAGGAGAGCATCGAAGGATGAAGGGACAGCGTCGAAGGACGAAGGGCACAGCTCTCTGGACGGCATCGAAGGACGAGGGGCCCAGGCTCGAGGAGAGCTCTCTGGACAGCCCGGGTGCCCCCCTGCCCGGGGCCTCCCGGAGGCCGCCCGCGCGTCCGCGGCCAGAGAGCCTGGCCAGGGGGGGACCCTGCAGGGTCCACTTCGATCCGATGGCGCTCCGATCTTTCGGCGACAGAGGAGGAGGAGGAGGAGGAGGAGGAAGAAGGAGGAGGAAGAGGAGGAAGAGGAAGGAAGAGGAGAAGGAGGAGGAGGAGGAGGAAGAGGAGGAAGGGAAGAAGGAGGAGGAGGAGGAGGAGGAGGAGGAGGAGGATTTCTTCCTCCGGAGGGGACAGCACGGCGACCGTTGTTGCCCAGATTTTTTTGCTCTCCTGGGGGCCTCTGCGGGGGCCCCCAGGCCAGTGCAGAAGCGGCTCGGGACTGGAAGCTGGGTCCCAGGGAAGAGGCTTGATGGGCATGTTTTCCACCACCACCACCATAAGTTAGAGGGGGGGGAGGATGAGGACGAATAGGAGGAGGAGGAGGAAGACGAAGAGGAGGAGCAGGAGGAGGAGGAGGAGGAGGACCCCCTCCCCCTCCAACCTATGGTGGTGGTGGTGGAAAACACACCCATCAAGGTTCATGCCTCGGGGGGTCACGCTGCGAACAGAATCGCGACGTCGGAGGCTGGGCAGGAGCGCCCTGCGACTTGATCCGATTTCGCGGTTCGATGCCCCGACTGCTCCTGCCCAAGGACAGGGCGGTTTTGAGCATCGGTCGTTGAAGGTAGGTATCTTTGGATTTCCAGATTCCAAGCTACTTTACGCACCTTCCTACTTCAATGATCGAGCGGCTTCACCTTTTCCGTCCTCTTTGGGGGCGGGCGGATACCCAATCCACTTTCAGCGCCTTCCTACTTCATGTTTCTACCTACTTCTTCCGACCGATGGGTAGAATTGAGGCGAGCGCGGACTGAGTTCCAAAAGGGCACGAGCATCATCCCTCGGAGGTCCGCACCGATTCCTTGGGTCGGCGTTGAAACCCCCTCCCCTGGCGCGCTTCGCGCGCAAGAGGATGGGACAGCGCCGACCCATGGAATCTGTGCGGACCTCCGACATCGTGTGTTACTGTTGGCCTGGTGGTGTCCCAGAGGAGTTGAGTAGCGCCGAGGGTCAAACGCCTCGCCAGTTAAGCCGACGAAGATGTGCAAAGTCCAACCGTTCGCTTACGTCCAAAGTTTTGGCTATACGCCGGATGTGGTGCATCAATATCAGCTTGACCGAACAGGTCGATTGCGCCCCTTGGCGTCCGTTTGGGGTGTTCTCCAAGCCCTACTCAACAGAGGAGCTCTACGTCTGGCCGCCCGTGGCAGAAGGCTCGTCCCGCACGACCGTCGTCGCCATCGATCCGCCGGTCGAGACGCCGAGCAAGACCTCCCCCGAGCCGCCCTCCCTGGCGACGTCGGGCAAGTGCCCGGCGCAGCGCGAGCCGGGCTCCCCGCATCTCCTCGGCCGTCAGAGGCTGAAGGGGGACAGATATCGCATACAGAAACACACTCCGAGGCTGGGGGTCCATGTCCACCGCCTGGGACCTCGGAGGGCCTTCCTGGAGCTCAGCCTCCTCCTCCTCCTCCTCCTCCTCCTCCTCTCCCCCCCCTCCTCCTCCTCCTCCTCCTCTTCCTCCTCCTCCTCCTCCTCCTCCTTGCCCTCCCCCTTCTCCTCCTCCTCCTCCTCCTCCTCCTCCTACTCCTCCTACTCCTCCTCCTACTCCTCCTCCCCCTCCTTCTCCTCTTCTTCCTTCTTCTCCTCCTCCTTCTCCTCCTTCTCCTCCTCCTCCTCCTCCTGCTCCTCTCCCCCCTCCTCCTTCGACCTTCCTGGACCCCAGGAGGCGATGGATGTGTCCTTAGCCACCTCGTCCCCCAGAGGCGCTAGGAGACTGGTGCCCACGCGGTGGGCGTGAACACCCCCCTGGCTTGCACATAGCTTAAGTCGGGCCTGTCCCTCTACAGGATGACTATTCAAAAATAGTCAAAAATTGTCAGGGGACGATTTCTGGATGATTTCTGAATATTTTTGGGGCATTTTTTGGTGTGCATTTTTTGTTACAAATGATTCGTCCAAAGTCCGCCTGTAGGGGGACATGCCCGACATCACCCTGGCTCGCACATAATCCGACGGGGGTCCGCGCGTACCTCCGTTTTTTGTTTGCTCGTTTGCTTGTTTGTTTGCTTGCTTGCTTGTTTGTTTGTTTGTTTGCTTGTTTGTTTGCTTGCTTGTTTGTTTGTTTGCTTGCTTGTTTGTTTGCTTGTTTGTTTGCTTGCTTGTTTGCTTGTTTGTTGGTTTGCTTGTTTGCTTGCTTGTTTGCTTGTTTGTTTGTTTGTTTGTTTGTTTGTTTCTCTTCTCTTGAGAGGTCCAATGCGCTGGCGCTTATGCTCTCGGACCACGAGCTGGACGGGCATCGCAAGTCCGTGACGGGCACCCCAGCTAGGGGCGGCATGTTCCCCGACGTGGAGCACATGAAGGCCCAGGTCCGGGACGCGGTGTTCACCGAGGAGCTCCAAGAACAGTTGCATAAATGCTGAGTACTTCAGGCTCGAATCAACCTCTTGACCTCCTCCTCTTGACCTCCTCCTCCTCTTGACCTCCTCCTCCTCTTGGGGTCCTCTTCCACGTTTTCGTGCTCGCTTTCCCTCGTGCGGCCCCAGATGCTTTGCGTCGTGTCGACCAGCGGCGACCCCAGCGTGGGCGTTCAAGGTTGAACGCCGCTGGCGACCCAGAATCGATCGACGACGATCGGACGTTGCGGCAGCGGCCGATCGTTCAGGGTTGAACGATCCTTGCGGTGTCAAAAACCAACGCTGGGGTCGGCACGACACGAAACTGCCGTACTTCAGGCTCGAATCAAGACACTGCACGGAGTTCCGCGCGGATTTCTTGGACCTGCGCTGGAAGCCCCTGGCTGCGCCTCCGGCGCCGCCCAGGAATCCGCGCGGACCTCGGAGTTGGTATGTTTGTGTCATTGTTTTGTTCCCCTAGAAGCAAGGTTAGCTCCGCGTGTCCCCCCCGCCTTGACCTCTCCTCTCCCCTGCTTCCCTCTCCTGCTTTTCCCTGGCCTGCCGCAGCAATGCAGGTGTACAGTTAAGTCGGGCCTGTCCCTCTACATGGGGAAATTTCTAAAATAATGGAAAAATATTCTGGGGATTGTAATCAAAAGTAATCAAACAGTGAAAATACAAGACAGGTTTGCATATTTTTGATGTATTTTTTGGGGTATTTCTTCATTTCCGTCCAAAATCCGCCTGTCGGGGGACATGCCCGGCCTAAGGGTACAAGGGGGACCGCTAGGTCCGTGCACCGATGGAGACGCCTGGTGCCGCTTGCGCCGCACTTACTCTTGGTGCAATGCGCCAGAACTTGGCAGGGGAGCTGGCTGACAGGAAGTTTCGGCTGTCCGCGGAGGCTTCTCGGGTCGGCGCTGGAGCCCCCTCGGTGGCGCGCGGAGCGCGTCAGGGGGCGGCGCCAAGAGGGGCGGCGCCAGGGGGGGGCTCAGCGCCGACACCGAGGGAGCCGCGCGGACCCACCGCTGGATTCGCCTTGAAGTTCTAGTCTTAAGTCGGGCCTGTCCCCCTACAGGGGGGGTTCCGACGAACAATTAAACATACCCCCTAAAATAGTCCAGAAGTAGTCCAAACACTGTCTGGGGACTGTTTCTGGAGTATGTTTTTACTTTTTTTGGGAGTATTTTTTTGGGTATTTTTTATTTCTCGTCGAAAATCCCCCTGTAGGGGGACACGCCCGACATAATTCTAGTCAGAGTGTACCCTGGGAGAGGCCCCAGGGAGCAGCGGTCGCGGTGTCTCTCTGAGTTTCCCTTGGCAGGAGTACAATGTGGCGAACTACTACAAGGACACGGGCTGGGCCCAGCGGGTCGCGAGAAGCAGCATGTTCGAGGTCGTCACGCTCTGCGTCATCGGGGCGAACGCCTTGTGGATTGCCGTGGACGTGGACGAGAACGACGCGACGGACCCCACGAAGGCGCCGCTCATGTTCCAGATCACGGACAACTTTTTCTGTGGATATTTCTTTGTAGAGTGGCTGATCCGCTTTGCCGCATTCCAGCACAAGAGCAACTGCCTCAGGCCTAAGACAAGCATTTTGGCGTAAGCATAGACGTCCAGCGGCCCGCACAGATTTCTCCGATGGGTGCTGGACCTCTTGGCGGTGCAATTGGCAGCGCCTCTGACGCGTTCCCCGCGCTACGGAGGGGGTTCCAGCGCCGATGTAAGAAATCCGCGGGGCCTCCGAAAGTGTATGTCGGTGCCATTTTTTTCTTCTTCTCTGAGGGACCGCTGGTTCGTGTTCGACTCTCTCCTTGTTGCGCTGACCGTGGTGGACACGTGGCTCATGCTGCTGCTCTTCTCATTGTCGGACATGTCCTCCGGGGCCAGCAGCCTCACGGTCCTCCGCATCTTCCGGCTCCTGCGGCTGACGAGGATCGCCAGGATGCTGAAGTTGCTGCACGCCATCCCGGAGCTCATGATCCTCGTTCCCGGCGGAGGAGAAATCAGTGGCGGCACGCGGGAGGTGATGACGATGGTGATGGGAGGTGATGACGTTGGGAAGTAGGAGGAGGCGGAGGAGGAGGAGGAGGAGGACGGGGAGGAGGAGGGGAAGGCGGGGGAGGGAAGGAGGAAGGAGGAGAGGGAGAGGGGAGGAGGAGGATGAGGAGGAGGAGGAGGAGGAGGCTGAGGAGGAGGAGGATGAGGAGGAGAGATGAGGAGGAGGAGGAGGAGGAGAGGCTAGGAGGAGGAGGAGGAGGGGGAGGAGGAGGAGGAGGAGGAGGAGGAGGAGGAGGAGGAGGAGGAGGCTGAGGAGGAGGAGGAGGAGGAGGAGGAGGAGGAGGAGGACGAGGGGGAGGAGGGGGAGGATTGTTTTTTGACATCCACGGCCAAGGACCCCAGTGATAGGGCGAAAGATGGTCGGCAAGAGCGAAAACCGCTCATGCCCGACTCAAATGATGCCCGCAACTGGGTTAGTCGGAGGAGCCAGACTCTTCATCCGTCTCCAGAGCGGGGGATGACTTTGCCTGGCTCTTGGCTGCCGAGCGGGCTCCAGCACGCAGAGTCCCTCTCTCAAACGAGGGGGCGGCGGCCGCGGCTCCCGCCCTGACAGCGGGGGGGCACGCGGCCTCTGCGTGAAGAAACAGAGAGGCTTCCTCCTCTGCGTCAAAATCTGGGCCGACCGCGGATGGCGGTGGCGGGATGGAAGCGTCCGAAATTCCCTTCACCCCACGCCGCTCACCACCGACTCCCCCTCCCACATATAGGCGAGGCAGCACAGAGGTGGCTGGATCAGCCTCAGCAGGGAAGCCGACTCTCGCGTCAGCCGCTGTCGTCGGCGTCCTGTCGATCGGCATGATCGTCTCGAGGTCAGCGCGGACTCCCTTCTTCTTGTGATATGGGTGTAGTCCACGGCCCAATCTGGACAAAACTTCGCTGCGCTTTGGCGGGTGTTCAAGACATTGCTTGGCTAGTCCTCGTAGCTGCACGCCCGAGGTAAAACAATGGCAGGACTGGCATACACACGCAAAGCTGCCGTCCGAGAAATCAATCACCACGCAGCGGTGGCCCAACTGGCGGAGCGAAGCAGGGTCCACCTTCAAGACCCTACTGCAGACGCCGTCGGGGGGCTTCGAATTGCTGCGAGAGACCCTGAGGCAGTGGGGGCACTGCCAGCAGCTGCCCACCCAACTCCAAACATGGGCGGGCCCCGAAGGCCTCTGAGGCCGAGCAGCAGCGGGTGTGCGCTCGACTCCTGTCAGGTCAGTGCGGGGCCACAAACACAAAACTTTCGCAGCAAGCTTGGTGACAGCCCTCGAAACTGAGATAAGGAAAGAGTAGCTGTCACGCTTCTCGTCGCTGAAACCTGGATGCAGGTGCGCGCCCGCCTTTGCCGCCTCATCCGCAGCGTTGTTACCGATGATGTGAGCGCGCTCGGCTGCTGGCAAGCCTGCATTGCCCTCCTGATGCGCCTTCACCTTCGTGACAGCGCGAAGCAAACGGCCAGCGAAAAAAAAACACATTGCATGACGAGACCACTGTATGGGCGGCGCAGCGACAGTCTCTCTTCGCGGCTCTTGCCGTGCTGGTTCACAACCACTTGGCAATCACTGAACAACTCGGCTGGGCCACTAAGCACGCTGGCCGCTGAAGTGGGGGCTGCGAATTCAGCCGCAACACTCGTCTGTGGGAAATAGCTGCCTAGGGCCCCATACATGCGCGCAAGGGCCTGTCCCGTTTCACCAACCAAAGCCGCTCCCCAACCAGCTGTGGAAAGGTCCTTGATCACATGGCGCGAGCACGAGCCATCCAGGTATATAGCCCCTCTCAATGCCCTCTCCCCAACGGGCGGAACTTCTAAGCCTTCGGCCCCGTAGGCCTCGGGGTAGGTCTGGAAAGCCGCGGTTTCCAACGCCTCCTCGAGGCTCATGGGCCCAGGGTGGCCCACGGCAGGGTGCGAAAAGAAACCAGTTTCGCAGACAAAACCCAGACCAGGCGTTGTGCCCTCGCCTAGGTCAGAGCGGATACGGTCTAAGAGCTTGGCCCCAACAGCTTCGACTCGGGTGTCCTCGCAAGCGGTGCAAAACCACAGGCGGTGGAGGACGGTGTCTCCAGGTTGGCCGCAAAGCGGGCAGATATCATCAATGATGTAGCCAGCCTGAACAGCTCGGCTGAGAGGCCATAAGGACTGGCAAGTCAGAGCTTTGATGGATCCCTTTTCTTTCCTGGAAAACTTCGAGGAGGCCATAGAGGCTTCCACGACGTCAAAGCAGAGGCGGCTCCCGTCGCTGTATTTGACGCCAGCTTCTATTTCTAGTTCTCTCAGGACCGAGCTTTTCAACAACTTCTTCAAACGAACGGGGGAGGTGAGGGAGAGAGGAGTGGATATGTTCTGGTCGTTAATCATGGTATACGGGTCCAGCATCCTCCAGCCCAGCCTGTGAAGCGAAAGGAACATGGCCCCGATCGGGCCCTTGCAAGGTCTCCAAGAGCGGGGGGGGGTGGTCCCATACAGCTTTCCAAGCAGATCTAATCAAATCCCAGCTCAAGCACCAAGTGGCCCTGGTCTGCATCAGCCTCAGCTCCTTGCTGTATCGGGCGATTGGTGCTATAGAACCATACCATGCGGGGTCCTTCTCGAGCCTCGTGAGGGTGGCAAGAGACCTGGAGCCAGCAGAGGGTCTCATGGTCGCAGCTGCCATTCTGCGGATCTTTAGCACCTCTCCGTCCGACATGCCGTGCGCCTCGGCCCCGTACTGGGCCCCTGCCAAGGGGCCAGAAATAGAAACCTTAGTGGCTCGGGCGCCTAGCACGCCTCGCTGACGGACTAAGCGCTTGGTGCGGCGGGCCGCCGCGCTCATGCGCTGCTTGGCCTTAGCGTTGCGGCCCTTCACTCGTCTACTGGTCCCTGGGGTGTGGTCAATGCCTAAGTTGACCGTGGACTCCCGATGAGGCCCCACCAGGTCCCCGAAGAAACGGCCAAGACGGACCGACATGCTTTTCTCCGAGCAAACCATCGCGATTCTGTCCAGGGAAATATGGGCCCTCATCATAACTGTGATCGCGTGCTGCAGGGTCTGGGCGCCTGCAGTAAGACTGTGCACAACGCCATCGGCGGTGCCAGAGGAGTTCAAGCCAGAGTCATCAATCTAAACGTCTAAGGTGGTGGAAGGGTTCAAAACCACGGAATCAGAGGCTGCTATACCGAAAACTTTGATCATGGTCGTCGCGATCGAGCATCCAGCTATCACTCCATACTCAGCAAATTGCGCCGTCGAGACAACTCCGCAGAGAACCATGCAGCGAGCCGATCGGTATCCCGCCATGCAGACGGCCATCAGCGCGGGAGGAAAATTAAGCCTGTGGCCTTGTGCCTCCAGCAGTGCCAGAGGGATCTGTTCGTAATACTTGAGCATGTCGTAAAAGATTGACCCAGCTTCGTTGCCTGAGGTCGTGGAACGCTCTGCCGCAACAGCCTGCCTCCAAACAACGTCTGTCGCAGCTCGGTTGCGTCCAGCAGCCCAGTAGGGCCTGTCATTGGCTTCCTCCCAGGCCACCGCGAAGGGCCGTCGGATCCTCCCCCAGATTCTGAAAGGGCTGGAGAAAACCCCGATGGGGCGGAAGCCAGGGGCAGATTTCGGGATCATGGCCACAATCAGGGCCCTGAGTTGGGGAGGGAGCATTCCTGACATCTCAGCGATCTGGAGGAGGCGGCCTAAACAGAGACGGGTTTCGTCCCCTAAGTACTGATAGTGGCGAAGGTGGAACCCGTCAAGCCCTATCGCGGAGCGTCTGGAGTAGGACCTGGGCGCCGATCTAAACTGGTCCGCCGTAATGAGAGGAAGGGCCTCCAACCTTGAACACCGCAAACGGTGGGGACTGTCCACCGCGTGTCAGAGCTTCCCGAAGCGGTCTCGCTCCTGCTTGAGAAGGGCTTGGGGGTCACTGACCAGGCTCCCGAAGCGGCTGAGGGTCGAAGTCGGCCTCCAGGCGGCGGGGTCCCGAGAGACCTGGTGGGCCCTGCGAGCCCCTTGGGTGATCCCATCCAGGAGCCAGCAGGACCAGTCAGATCGAGCCTGCTTCGTGAACCTGGCCGTGCAAGCCTCGAGAGAGTCCTTTAAAAGGGCGTGGGCGTCGTCTGCCATGATCCGGGCGAAATCAGGGTCTCCGCCCCGAGCCGCCACCGCAGCCGCCGCCTGCTTGAAAGCGTCAGCGCATTCGCCTTGGTTGTCTGCCACAGCCTGAGGCGGGCGGCTGATGGCGCGGCAGGCCGCCTCAAACGAGTAGCTGTGTCGACCTTTGTCCGTGGGCGAAAAACCATCTCGGCGGACGGCGTCTCTAGCAAGCAGCACTCGGTAAAACATGATACTAGGCCCAGAGCCATCTCATACTGTGAAGCTCAGGGTAGCGGACAGCCCCATGGTCGCGCCCCAGCACAGGGCGCCACCACAAGACCGCCCCTTTCCTTCGCGCCCCATAGTACGGGAGGGAACAGCCCATGACGTTACACAACTCCAGTTCCGCAGTGTTGGCCCACTGCTTATAGGCCGATCCCAAGAGCGAGTCCAAGACGTCACCTTCCCCCCTTTGGGCCCTAACCAGGGCCTTGTCCAAAGGCGCCGATACCTTGCAGTACCTGAGGGGCTCGGGGGACGGACCGATCGGGGCATCCACACCGATCGGGGGGGGGGGGCCTTGCGAAACGACAGGGCATGGAGATCAGCAGTCCCAGCATGGAACTGGATCATGACAGGGACGTGGGGGGTGAAAGATCCTGTGGGGTCGATCGCCGCTGAGCGGACAGCCTGAGCGAGGCCCCCAGAGAGGACAAAGAAATCGTACTTCTTGGGCTCGCCTGAGCCGTAGCACGTCGGTCCCTCCGCCGCGACCAGCTGCCCCCTCAAGTTGTGAACGAACTCGCGCTCGTGAGGGGGGGGCGGCTGCATGTTGAAATCGCCACCTGCTAAAAAACGGCTTGCCGCATGTGGAAAGTCTCGCGCCGATAGCGCTGAGGATGTCGATGTTGGCTTCACTCAGCCCTTCCGGGTCACGGAGGTAGAGAGAGGC